GAAATTGCCGTACCGCCGATATTTTTATCAAATCTCTCTCTTTCTCTCTCTTCGTCGAATAAATAAAAATTCTTGTGGACGACCATGGTGTGTGAATAAGGTCAGAGGAGGTTAGCCGTACGCGTGAACGAAAACCCGCAGAATAATTTAACAATATCAATACCACGCGGGGACCAAATAAACTTGCCCAGTATGTTAGTGCCCCTCCCCTCGGCAGACGCACCTGACCTTTCGGGTGATGCCAGGCCCGTTATAGGCAGAAGAGCTAGCTAGAGGCCGATCGAGCAGTCTTGCTCATTCGCCTGGAATTTACAACGCGGCACTGAAATAAATGAAGTCATTGACGGCCGTTGCAGTAAACACGAGCCGCAGCGCGACCTATCCGATCCGATCCTCGGGTTGGGCCTCGACGCCGGCCGACGGTCACAAAAAAAAAAAAAAAAAAAAAAAAAAAACACCACCCCATACACCGTGACAGCCCTTCAAAGTGGGTAAATGTACTCTTTCGGCCAACAACAAAAAGTAGTGAGGGAGGATCAAAGTTTGAAACTCCTTTTAAACGGAGTGCGCATTGGCGCCTAGGGGGTCCCCACAACGCGACAACTCCCGCCATCACCCCAGCGGAGGCCAATAACTCTAATCGGCGGGGACACCCCAAGTCGCATCCATCTCCGACTCGCTCGAGGAGAAGAGCTGGAAAAAAAGGAGGAAGCAGGCCGAGAAATTCTTTGATGGTGTTGAGGGGAGGGTGAGGAATAGGTTTGGGGGGTCGCGCGCGCGTTAGGGTGCCGGCGCGGGGCGGGATTCGGCCGCGAAGGGGGGTATAGGAAGGGGGCTGACAACTCTATTTCGACGTTTAAATCTGAAAAATCGCTTTATAAACGCAAAAATTCGATGAAAATAAAACGTATCCCGAAAACAGCTGGGAAAAATTGTTTCGCGACGTCTGCTGGCGGGGGACGGATTCGAACCCATGAATTAATGCGGGTTATTGCCGTTTCATCGGGCAGGCAAATGGAACGTGAACTCGCTCTCCTATCGCGCCCCTTATTTATTGTGGTGTGAAACGCTCTCGCGATCTCCGTGCCCCCCCCCCCTCCCTTCCTCCACTTAAGGACCTCCCGCGAGTCTGACCGCCCCACCTCACCCCGCCCAAGTCGACCAGTGATTATCTCGATCAGTAGTGTGGTGTTCTGCTGCTGGCCGTGCGCCGAAGAGTTCGCTGCTTGCACCGAATCATAGGGGAGGGAGGGAGGGAGGGAGGCGCACTCCCAGTGCTGCAGCTCTCAGATTACCTCACGCCTCCCGTGCGGAGCGTGGCGGAGCGGCTCCCGAGCAATGACACGCCCCTCATGTTCACGCTTCGCGTTTGCGTTCCAGACGACGCGGGTGGGCTACAAGGAGTCCATCGTGGAGATGCTCACGTTCTACAACGAGACGGAGTGCGAGTGCCAGCGCATCCAGGAGGACAGCCGGTTCCACCACCGCGGCAGCAGCGACCTTCGCGCCCAGAGCTCGCCGGCCAGCAGCAGCTCGGCCCTGGACTCGTACTACTCGTCCAGGAAGCAGCGCCAGGCGCGCACCCAGCTGGACATGCCGCCGTCCTACATCCAGCTGGCGCCCTACACCAAGCCGGGGTGAGTCGAATTACGCGGGGCGCGATTGACATTAAGAGTCGAGTATGAAATAGCACGTTTTGAAAGGGACCGACCACCGCCTGCGATTGCCGGGGACGAAAAAGATCAAATTTTAAAAAGATACAATACATGGATACCAAAAAATTATTTTGGGGGGTTTGGGTCGGTCCGGGTACAGCCAGCCGGAAGCGTCGGACTGCTTGTGGGTTCCGGCGCGGCTTACAGGTCGATCCGCCCGGCGGTGTCGGCGTCCTAATATGACGGATCACCGTGTGAGTTATCTCCGGGTCCGGATCGACGGGATTGACAGACGTATCGGTTGTGTTGTTGTCACCTGTCGAATCCATTTGGGCCCTCGACACAACTGCCTTCCTTCCTGGCTTACTTCCTGGACGTCGCGTCCTCGGCTGGTCAACGCCAGGCTTCGTGCAGCATAGGCGGGAGGGGGGGGGGCGGCTGGACAAGGCGCCCGCCAGCTACAGATATTTTTAAAAGCAAAAAATAAAACCAAAATATTGATGAATGGTTTTGTCCGTGTTGCAGGTGCCGGTGTCCGAGCACGTACAGCCCCAGGGAGATGCCGCAGCCTAGGGGCTGCGCTTGCGACTGCTTCGACCGACAGACGGACTGCCTGCGATTCAAGCGCGGGAAGGAGTACTTTTCCATCGAGGACAGATTGTGAGTACCTTACTACTTGCATGTTCGGAGAGGGGAAGGGGGAGGGAGCGCGCTTCTCTAGCGAGACACATCAGAGGCGGTAAGGGTGGAGGGATGTGGGTCAGGCGGGCGGCCGCGACGGGGACCTCGCCTGTACGGCCTCCCCCCACCCCCACCTCCCTTTCCGCCTGCTCAGTCCCTATTGACTACCCCCGCGTCGAGAGCAAAAGAGAGAAGGGTGCGCCATAAAAAAATCAGCGTGACGTGAGAGGGAAGACGATCCCCAAAACAAGGGAGCAGGGAGCGCAGATAAACATGATCGGCTAAACATTACCCGGAGCAAACTGGATGGGGGATGGGGGTCCGGAGCACCCCGCCCCACCCCGCCCTACCAATCGCCCGGCCGGGCAGCTCTTGCGCCCCTATATTGCCGCGGGTTTCGGGACCCGCCCCGCCAGCCGCAGTTCGCTCAGCTGACCCCGTTTGCCGCGAGTCTTGGCGCGGGACGAGCGACCCGCTCCCGGTCCGCCCCTGCTGGCCTGCGGGGGACGCTGGATTTGATTTATCCCCCATAACCCGCTCCAGTACCGCTGGCTGCTAGCTCCTGGAGTCTTCAGCCGGCTCCAGCAACCGTGACCATACCTTTTCTTCAGCGAAAAGAGTCTTCTGCTTCTTCTGCTCCCAACTTCTCCCTGAATTTACTTTCTTTTTTTGCCCCGTTCTAAGGGGCTTGGTCAGAAGAGGCACGTTGCCCCCTTTCGCCTCACCCGCCAGCCAACACACACATCCACACACACGTGAGGTCATTGTCCTGGAAACGCAAACACAAGAGAAAGGGAGAGGAGGAGAAGAGGTGGGAGGGGGAACGAGACTGTCCTCTTGTCGTTGTGCGAAGGAACAGGACTTCCACCCCGCGGACGCCGCCCTCTGGCTCCCCTTCTTCTCCCTTTGGTCGATCTCTCTTTTTTGTACCCCTCCCTCTCATCCACCACTCTGTCCCTCTCTTTCTCTGTCCACCCCCTCTCTCTTTCTCTCTCTTTCTCTCTGTGGGTTACTGGGGCGTTCGAGCGTCCACGTCCAGTGTTATCTCTGGGCGTGGTGGGGCGTGGTGGGGCGTACAGCCCAAAAGCCTGATTAATGCCGCGCCCTATGATGCCCTAAGCCCGGTCGCGAAATGTATCACGTCTTTCTCATGCGGAATGAGCCTGCTCCCCCCCTAGCTTGATTTCTTCCTGAACGCCCCATGGAGTCCCCCCCACCCCCACCCTTCCAGTACAGTCCAGCCACAAGATTAATACGTCCCCCCAGATCCACCCTCTAGGCTCCTCATTAAAAGAGTTGCAGTGCGTTGTTGTTCTTATCTGGCCCCCGCCTCGCCTCGCGCCCCGCCTCTCCTGGCATCCTTGAGTCGTTGCCGTATCGTTGGTGGGGCTGGGTGGGTTGTCGGGGGATGCTGGCGCCTGGAAGTCGCGGCTGGGGGAATTGGGGGGGGAGCAGAGGGTTTCGCATAGCTCTGTTCTCAAGGTCTGAGCCTGTTTGTCTTCCCTCCTGCCCGCAGATGCATCCAGACCAGCCAGTGCAAGCTGCCCGAGTGCGAGTTCGGCACCTACATGAAGCTGAGCGGGCGCTGTCCGAAGAAGAACGAGAAGTTTATGCGCTACAACCACAGCAACAGCCGCGACAGCCGCCGGCCCTGAGCCCTGAGCGCCCCGTACCTGTGGCGTACCTGTGGCGTACCTGAGGCGTTCCCGAGGGGCGCTCCCTCGGCCCGCGGCCGCGCGAGCGTACCGCGGGCGTACCGCGGGCGTACCTGTACCTTACCGCCGCCGCCCTCCAGTCCGGGACGGCCCGCCGGATGCTACTTAATGACTTGGCTGTGATAGACGGGGAGGGAACTCGCAGGGACACCCCGAGGGACACCCCGTCCTGAGGGTGCCGCTTACATTTCTCATAGTTCGGACGCGTCCGAACGGGACGAGAGCCGCACAGCCTGCGTCGTCTGCCCCGCTGTGTCCGAAACTTGTGTCGTCACACTAGCGTCAAACAATTGAGTAAAAGTATGGAACTGATGGTGCTGACCAAGGTGAGCGTGTGTGTAGGAGAAATAGAAGTTCTCATAGGATCAGAGACCGATGACGAATGGAATGCGTCTTGAAGGCGTTCAGGTGAATCGGCAAAGGGCTGATGAACTTAGTTCTGTGCTGCGCTACACGTGCCTCATCTACGACTGAGTACAGTTATTTCGTGTTCGGACAGTATTGACAAATTAGAGTAAACGATGAAGTGTAAATGCCTGATTGACTATATTGTATGTTATTTTTTCAATAACGACTCCTCGTTTAATTCCTAGTGTATTTATATTTTGTTTGTGTTTTTTTTCTTTTAAATTAAATGAAATGTAATATAGAGACCGTAGTTTATCTAAATGTTATGGTTACCGTTTTATACTTATTTACTAAGGAAAGGAGCACAACATTTCCGTTTATTGTAATCGTATAGGAGGGGAGGGTGGGCCAGAATGAATATATAGTCAGCATTATTTCTCCAATTCATCTTTGTTTTGCATTTGTATTAGTTTCCCTTTTCGCAATTCTGCAGTTGTGCTCGTGAAACCTACGAAATGTTAATGTGTTTGCTCGAGTGAGTGAGTGAATGAGTGAGTGAGTGAGTGAGTGAGTGAGTGAGTGAGTGAGTGAGTGAGTGAGCGAACGAGAGAATAAATGTCGAATTTATTTAACCATTTGTGGAATCTAAATTATAAGACCATTCAAAAATCATATGTAGCTAGCCTCCGCAAGTCCTTTTGACTTGCCCTTCCTCGGTAGAGGATTATTCTTTCTTACATTACATTTAGGAAAGATACGGATGACCTTCATGGTTGCGATGGCCGTCCCTATCTGAGGCCTGAGATGTATTTCGGATGCGGAAGACACCCTTTTCCTTGGGTGTAACTTTTGTACATTTGATTATCCTACAAAAATAGTCTACCCAATACATGAGTAAAAATACAGCAGCTTGATATAATAACGTAGAACCAGCAGTAATGAAAGCGTAGCCATTAGAGTAAGCGACGTAATGTTGAAATGGGAGATGCGCAGCAGTATGCGCCTTGATTTAAAGGGCTTCAATCGACATGACGTCCGAACGAAACTTAAACTAAAATTGTAATCATGACGTCATTGTATCGACTTCCGGTACCGGTGGACTGGCGTTTATCGGTTCACTCTTCATTGTGACGACAGAGCAGGATTCACTGCTTCTAAAAACATGATATTGTTCCTTTGCGATACGTTACAGGCAAAATAAATTCCAAGGATACTTTTTGTATTGTTTCTTGTTTTTCTAGAAACCTGCCAGGTTTGCGTCGATTCCTATACGTAACTATCACTAGCAGCTTGCGGTTCTAGTCACATCGACTTTAAACGTTTAAGAGAACAAGCCTGTGCTTAATCTAATATTCCTGCTAGTCACTCTGTGCACTTTAAAACATTAAAATGTTTTTCGTGACGCAATTAAATTGCCACTTATCAAATCAGAGAAAAGTCCCATGTAGAGTTGTGTTTGGTTCACTCGTGTTCTCAAATAACCATCTTCTGTTTGCGTCGTATATTTGACGGGTCGCAGTAAATGTGCCCTTTAAGTGGACTTTTTTAAAGAAGCCACCTCAATATCTGTAAGTTTACGTGAAATAAACTTGCTTCTACCATCTATGTGATTTTATCATCAGACCAACAAGCTTCATGCTTTCGTTCCTCCCTCATCCTCAACCACTCACCACTTCATAACTCCCGTTTCATGCTCAATACTATTTTTTATGAAAATGGGGGAGAAGGAGGGTGCATCCCTTCTTTTAGTGGGTGGCGCGGCGACTTGGCTGCTCACCACGCATTCATTTTCACGAGACTTTGCGATTCCGAGCGAAGGCTGCGGGCGGGGCTCCCTCGGAGGGATGTGAACAGCCGACCGTTCTTCCCGCTATGACGGGTTGTTCTCTCCCACAGAGGACGCTGCCCTCAACCATGTTCAATCAAGAACACGATAGCTTGCGCCACGCCCTCATCGCAGGGCGTAGCGTAAATTCGAAGGGTCACCACAGGGGTGTGCAGCTCCCTAAAGCACTACTAAATACACTTTGGGGGAAAGAAGGCTGTTTCCACATTATATGGAGGAAAAGTTCAGGCTGCTGTTTCTAGACGGGAATTGCCGGAACATGATTTGTATATTCCTTTTAGATTGAAACAAAGTGAGAGCTGTCTCGTCTACCCACCTCGGATCACCCCAGGACACGTCTACTTTACTTCGGAGTTTGAATGGGATCGCCTTTGTGTCCAGACGCAGACGACCACCGCCCGCCCGGGTAGACCTCGACTGCAATCGACCGCTGAGTGAGAGGCCGGAAGCTGTTTCCCATATTCAATAGGCAAATTACGGGAGCTGGGCGCCTGCGAGACTCGGGGTAGGCCACCCCGCCGTACACGCGTGCACTGCAGGCAAAATGTTGCCTACCTATCAGGCGCTCGGAGAGCAGTTTCGTGGGGGCGAATGGACCGGATGATCCCTAACCTAATACTGTTAACGGCGTGGTCGCCTAGCATGCCAAAATGTTGACAGTCCTTTTTGATTGCCAAATTTTGGCCATCTTTTGGATGCTGCAAGTTTTTTGCCTCTTCAACTGCCAAAAATTTGGTAGTCTTCTTTTGGGGGCTGCCAATTTTTGGCTTCTTTGAACGCGAACAGTTGGCCTTCTTTTGGCATGCTAAGCGCCCACGTCGGTATCAGTGAATTGGTGGCTCTGACAGCTAATATTTTTCCATATACCGGAATCTTCTGTGGTAAGCTATCGCGAATTCAGCAAACTAATTCAGATGTGCGGGACATCGTGTATTTAATTTTTCCGGGTGAATGCATTTCTGGAGTCTGGAGTACAATCTATCGCCAGCCTCTCTCTTCCGGGCCCGGGTGCACTGGTGCATTTAACGTGTTTTGGATGTTCGTCCCCATACCACCACCACCGTCGCCGCGCCGTTCTATAATGCGTTAGGCTCCTCCTCGGGACAACAGACAGCGGCACTCGCTTGGCGCCAAAGTGGCCGTCTTGTTGTGCACGGAGCGGCTCGGCTCGGCAGCGCCGCAGCGCCCCCTCTGGCGGGGTTGGCTTAACGGGGGGTTGTGGGGGGAGGGAGGGGGCTGAGGGGGGCGTCTATTCTAGCCGGCTCCACATCCAGTCTGCGCTGCTGCGGCAGGCAGCAGAGGGGCGTATCTTATCCATCCCGCGCAGAGTCGGTAATTGTTTGAGGGGTTTGACAATGGCGCAGCGACAGAACAATCAACCCCTCTCTTAAGCCCCCCCCCCCAACCTCTCGACACACTGTGCCGTATATACGACTCACCCCTTTCACAGCTTCCGCAACAAACCTCCCCCAACACCCCCCCTCCCCTCCCCTTCCCTGCGGTGCCTGCCGGACCGGACAAGCCTTGCGCACCTCCCGGCCCCGCCGCCCGCGCCACACACACACACACACACAAACGCGCTCGCCGCGCGCCCTCACCCGCAGCCCGCAGCAGCGGCTCGGAGTGGCCGGCTGGTGCCTTCCGCAGAGACGAGCCGAGTTTTGTTGTTTCACAGCACCACAGAAATACAGTTGTACTTCCGTTGTACTTCCGTTGTACTTCCGTTGTACTTCCGTTGTACTTTTCGAAGCCTCTAGGGTATGGGTTATTGAGTGAATGGCACATGGCATGTGACGACGCTTCTCCGTTCGCAACTGTGAAGTCATAACTCTTGAGCATCTTTTTACTTATTCTCTTGTGGTTCTGGGAAGTATTTGAAGATTTGCAGGATCGCAGAGACGGGTCTGCCGCAGAGACACGATATAATGAGCAGGATGTGTGCGGTGGCTTTGCTCTGCAGAGGCTGGAGGAGGTCCTGGAGACCAGCCAGATATTGAGATAGGACCGCGCCTACCCCCCCCCCCTCACTCCTCCACCTCCCCCCTCCCCAGCTGCACCGCGGCCGCCTGCCACGCGGCGAGACACACACACATGACATCACCGGTCCGCATCCGATCCGATAATGCATCCATTTTTCAACTTCCACTTTTCCTTTTCCGCGCGAAAAGTGCGCCCCGCGCTCTGCCGACTGCATGTCTGCCCGCGATAGGGAAAGTGGTCGCCGATATCTGATCGACGACATGGGGGCGGTTTGACGCCCCGGGGGAGGGGGGAGGGGGAGGGGGCAGGTCGGGAAGGTGACGGGTATCGTAGAATGCATCGCGGCCGGCCCTCCTGCCACATCCTTATGCACGCTGGGCTGCGATTTCCTCTGCTTTCATTTCCTCGTCTCGTTCTCGTATATATCGATTTACTGGTCGCTCAGGCTGGAAAACGCCCGCGGCACTAGTCCCTTCCTATACTGCATCATCACCTGGCTAAACGTTCACGGTTCGCCGGTTCCTTGCATTTTGTTGGTTAGACGAGCCGATCATCCCGGGTGAGTATTGAGCAACTCGCCTCGCACGCTTGCCTTCAAAAGCTTTCAAAAACCTGCAGGCCGTGGAACCGCGAGCTTGCTACTGGAGAGTAGCAAAAGAAACATAACTTTTCTTTTTCTGAACTTATTTTTAGGTCAATTAGCTGAACACTGGAGCGGCTCATATGACGGTCGATCGGTGCACATCGTGGACGTACACAACCCACCACTCTTCTTCTGCTCGGCTGAGCCTCGACAGCGCCGCCGACGCGCCAGCAGCGCCAGTGACAAGTGATTTCTTTCCTACAACAAGGCGTATCTTCACCCCCCCCCTTCTTCTCCCCTCGTCTGCTCCACGACTACCCTCCCTGTTTTCAACTTTTTTTTCTTCGCCCCCCTTCCCTCCTTCCCTGTCCCGGGCCGCGACCACGCGAACCGCGGCGCGGACACCAAGAGATGTCGTATCCCGATGGATCGTCTTGTCCTGTCAGGCGCGCCTGCCTGCTGGTGTTAGGGAGGGAGGAGGGAGAGGGCGAACGGCGGAGAGGGGAGAGGGAAGTGCCATGGGTGCCGATGGTGCGCCCACTAGTGCAGAGCGAAATCGTATTTTGAAAATAGAAACTTCTTGAAATCCCTACACAGTTTTGAAAAAATCGTTTTTCCAAATCTGTTCTTACGGTCTATTTTATTCACACCTGTAAAATATGGGTGACAAAACTCTACACTACACCATTCTCATCATTTTTTCACGTTTCCCGGCGATCGGAAATCCAAACATTCTGTCATGGTGCGCACGACGGGCAGGGTTCCTGTTCCTTGCGCTGAACTTGGCGCGGCCGGCGCACGGCAAGGCCGGCGTTTGGAAACAATGTCTACTCAGCGGGGGGGCTTCTGTCTGTGGGCCTGTAACGCCC